GTGTCTAGCGGTTTGTCGCTCGCGCTGCGGCTGGATGTCCCGTGCTCCTTGCGGGTCTCCGCTTGGGGCGCCTGGCCGTGCGCAGCGGCTTAAGGGGTCAAGGGGTGGCGGCGCTGAACCACGGTCAGGACGGGAAGAGGTCTCTCCGGTTACACCTGGCCGTGCGGGAGGCGTCGTTACCCCCGTGTAGCACCGTGGTAGCTCTGGCGGCCACCACCTCCGGGGGAGTGTTAGACCGTCCCCCAGCTGGACTCTGCGGTGGATGGGGAGCCCCGAGGCCAAAATGAAAGTCACTAGAGGAGGAAGTGTCTGCAAATACCGTCATTTCAATGATGCGTAATGTCGAGATCGTGAACGGCCGTGACAGCTCTGGTCCGCCTGATATCAGTAGGGTTTGTGCACCGGCGCGGCACAGGCAGCCGCGCCAGCAGCACCAGCAGTACAGACGTCAACAGCAGCCTTCCACCGCGCAACGGCAACAGCATAGTCAGCGTACCGACTTTTCAACAGCATGCAGATACTGTGGAAGAGCACGTCATGCGTCTCCGAAAGATTGTCCTGCTAAGGGAAAAATCTGTGACAACTGTCAGAAAATGGATCATTTTGCGTATGTTTGTCGCTCCAACGGTGTCAGAGCGGGTGCGCGGACAGAGTCCATTGAACAACTATCGCCGCCCAGCATCTTTGTTGACGAAGTAGACAAAGCTTGCGCGCCATGGAGAGTTTCAGTCCTTCTAAATGGTCAACGAGTCGCTTCCAAAGCTGACTCTGGCGCTGATGTTAGCATTCTGACGCTGAAAACGTACAAGAAGCTGAAACTGCCGCCGCCTCAACATGCTTCAGATACTCTGACAAGTGTTGGTAGCGTGCTAAAAGTAGAAGGAAAGATGCACGGAACACTGCTGTTCAAGAACAAAGCCGAGCCTGAAGTGTTCTACGTTGTTGACTCAGCTAATGATCTCCTCTCCACGTCTGCTTGCTCGCGCCTGGGCGTACTGAGATTCACAGGTGAAGTCAACGAAGACGTCTTCGGAGAGGCAGGTCTACTGAAGACAGCACCGGTCAGCATTCAGCTCCGTGAAGATGCTGTTCCATTCGCCCTTGCCACTGCGAGAAATATCCCGCTGCCACTGATGAAGCCGGCGGAAGAGGAGCTGAAGAAGATGGAGCATCACGGCATCATCACGTCGGAGACCGAGCCAACGGACTGGGTCTCTGCGCTGGTCCCCGTCCCGAAGCCGAAGAGCAGCGGTGTCCGCATCACGGTTGACTACAAGAGACTCAACCAGTCTGTGAAGCGACAGGTGTTCCCGATCCCTACTCTGGAGCAGCTGACCTCCAAGCTGAGTGGCGCGACGCTCTTCACCAAGCTGGACGCCTCTTCCGGTTTCTACCAGATCCCGCTGGACGAGGCGAGCTCCAAGATGACCACGTTCATCACTCCGTTCGGCAGGAAGAGGTTCCTGCGACTGCCGATGGGGATCTCGCTCGCACCGCAGTGCTTCCAGCGGAAGATGGAGGAGATGCTGGACGGACTGCCCGGAGTCATCGTCTACATGGACGACACCGTGGTGTTCGGAGATGCTGCCAGCCACGATGCACGTCTCGAGGCCGTCATCAGGAGGATCCACGAGTCTGGCCTCAAGCTGAACAGGAAAAGGTGTGAGTTCCGGAAGAACGAGGTCAAGTTTTTGGGGATGAAGATCAGCAAGAACGGCATCAGCATGGACGAAGAGAAGCTCGAAGCGATCCAGCAGCTCCAACCACCAAAGAATGTCAATGAACTAAGGTCTCTGCTCGGAGTAATCAACTTCCTGGGCCGGTTCGTTCCACACATCCAGGAGTGTTTAAGACCACTGAACGAGCTTGTGAGGAAGAACGTAGCATGGATCTGGACACCACAGCAGCAGCAGGCGCTGGATGACGTGAAAGCAGCCGTCACTTCAGCTCCAGCTCTGGCGTTCTACGATCCAGCACGAGAGACGGTGGTCAGCGCCGACGCCAGCAGTTTCGGCATCGGAGGATGTGTTCTCCAGAAGCACGGCTCCGTCTTCAAACCCGTCGCGTTCTGCAGCAGAAGCCTGACTGACCCAGAGACCAGATGGGCCCAGATTGAGAAGGAACTACTCTCCGCGACGTGGACGTGCGAGAAAATGCACATGTTCCTGTCCGGACTGCCGTCGTTCGAGCTGCATCTGGACCCCAAGCCTCTGATCCCGCTGGTTAACACGAAAAATCTCGTGGATGCGCCCATCAGATGCCAGCGCATGCTCATGCGCTTGATGCGATACAACCCCACAGCGGTCTTCGTTCCAGGAAAGCAGCGCCTGGTGCCCGACTTCCTCTCACGTCATCCAGAAGCAGGATGAAATCAGCGCTGTGCTTCAAGAAGACATACATGGATTCTGTGAGAGAATCTTCAGCGATCTTCCCGCCACACCGCAGCGTCTGGTGGAGATAAGCAAGGCGCAGCAAGCAAACGAACCCCTACAACGCGTAGTTCAGCAGACTCTCTCTGGGTGGAAGGAGGGAGCGAAGCATCCCGACCTGCTGGACTACTTCGCCTCTCGGGGAGAGATGAGCGTTCTGTACCTAACGTGTGGTACACTGCTGATGCACGGGCGACGCATCGTCATCCCTCCGAGTCTGCGAGATGAAATGCTCACCCGACTACATGATGACGGACACTTCGGTCTGAACAAGTGTCGTCAGAGGGCAGCAGAATCGATCTGGTGGCCTCAACTCAGCATCGACCTGAAGCGTCATCTCGAGAGCTGCTCGTTCTGTCAGGTGAACGCGCCAGCCCAGCACGCTGAGCCACTGGTGACAACCCCAACGCCATCAAGACCGTGGACGCACGTTGCAGCAGACGTCTTCCACTTCAACAACTGCAACTGGCTCGTCACGGTGGACATCTTCAGCAGGTATCTGGAGATACAACGCCTCCCGAGTCTCACCAGCAGCGCAGTCATCGAGCGTCTGAAGCGCCTGTTTTCCCGCTTGGGGATACCAGACCTCGTGACAACAGACGGAGGAACGCAGTTCACTTCAAGCTCGTTCGCCAACTTCACAGCGTCCTACGGCTTTACAAACCGCATCACAGACCCGCACACGCCGTCTTCCAACGGAGCAGCTGAACGGGCCGTGAGAACCGCCAAGTGGATACTTCGCCAGAGGGACCCCCACCTCGCCCTCCTCAACTACCGCACGACGCCTGTGGAAGCAACCGGATACTCCCCAGCCCGTCTCCTGATGGGACGCGAACTTCAATCTCGTCTCCCCATCGCTCAGCCAACCGGAGAAGCGACATGGCAGCATGCCAAACTCCGAGATCGGCAGAGGAAGAAGAAGCTGAAGACATGCTTCAACCGGAGACACGGTGCCCGCGATCTTCAGCAGCTACAGCCCGGGGATCATGTTCGGATCAAGACGGAGAAGGAAGCAAGCTGGTCCAAGCCCGCCACCGTCATAGAGAAGCTCTCTAGACGCAGCTACCTTGTGGAGCTCAAGGGTGCTCGCTATCGTCGCAATCGACGTCATCTGATGCAGATCCCTCCGTTTCAGGTGTTGACACAGCACGGTTCCGCGCGGCGTGCTGACTGTTCTGCACACAGGGTGCCCGCTCCAGACCTCCTCTCTGGCCGCCATGCTGAGGTAGCGCCACCGGCGCTGCTGCAACCGCAGCCGCGCGAACCGGCGCCTGCACCACGATCGGTAGTGCCACGGCCACCACCAGCTGTGCCGTCGTCCGCGTCGAAAGCGGCGCCGCCGCCGTCGCTGCCGCCGCTGACAGAAGCTGCGGCCCAGCCCTGCAACGCGCAAGTGCCCCAGACACAGGACCCAACGCCACCGCTTAGTTTTAGTCCGCGTAAAACACGCAGTGGCCGCGTTTTCTGAGATGCATCAAAGAGAAGCAGCAGAGAAGCAGCAGGAAAGCAGATGGGAAGCAGCAGGAAAGCAGCAGAGGAGAAGCAGTCTGAGAAGCAGAAGGGAAGCAGCAGCCTCAGAAGCAGCATAGCAGCAGCAGGGAAGCAGCAGGGAAGCAGCAGTCTGTCGCCAATAATTTCGTTTCGCAAGCGTTTTTTTTATATATTATACATTTATTTGCATTTCCTCAAGGGGGGGAGATGTATCATGATGTTACTTGCGTACCCCTGAGACCGCCCCTGCTCGCGCCGCCAGTGCTGCTGCACTTTGGTACGCCGCAGCCCCGAATGGCGGTGTACTGCCTGGGGCGCCACCCGCCGGAGTCGGCGCCGCCCGCTCGCTTCGCGGGATAATACAGTTGCCGTTTAGCAGCGCTCGTGTCTGGTCTGGGCAGACACACTCAAGCTATCGATTAAAACTTCTAAAAACATCTATTTCCGTGAAGCTCGTAAACTTTACGACAGCCGCCCGAAAATATCGTATGCGTCCAAAGTGAAAACTTCGTTGCCGCAAAGAAATGTCATCGAGCACAAGACGGCAATTCAGTTCGTGGGACTTCTGAGGTCGTTTGGCCTGTCGCTTGTTCCCTCGATCCGAACGCCCGACTCCCAGCCGGCACTCCAAGCTTCCCCCCCC